TTCAGCAATAATTTTTTAAAATATTCAAATTACTACTTTTTTTAATAATATCGGAGATTTTAACTTTAACTGAAACTACATGTGACCTATTTACGTTATTAATGTTTTCAACAGTATCTTCAATAACCTCTATCTGATCATGAAGAGATAACTTAAAAGTTTTCAGGCGAGTAATTGAAGTGCCAAGGAAACTGAAATTTATGCATAAAAGTGCAAAATCTAATATATTTTTAAAATCTAAATTCGGAACCATATTTTTTGCTGTTGCAACCGCAGCAGAATCTTCTTCTGGGAAGTGGCACAACACATTTTCAGTTTTTTCAAAATAGTGGACATAATATTTTATTGCATCTAACCATGTCCCCTAGCGTGTTATAATAGTTTGGGCTTGAAGTGGAAAATTCGGTTGTTTCTTTCTGAATTTCTTCTCTTGCTGGTGCCTTTGAAAAATTTAAAAAAAAGGCAATAATACGATCAACTCTCCATAGGCTGCCAAATGCAAAATAGGTCAAAAAAGGCAAAAAATAATAAAAAAAGGTGTTAAACCCCGAAAAAGGTTAAAAAACGTTTTTCCAAAGCCATGCCAAATAAAAGGAAATTTTATGAAACGAATTTGTATAGGATCATTTAGTAGTAGCGGAGCAATAGATCCTAGCAAGCACTACTAAAAATAAGTTAAAACCTAAATATCCATTCCTTACTTAAAACAACTAACGAGACCTGAAATATACATAAATGGAATTCTATACAGATAAAATTAAACGATATTCTTAATATCATATATGGAATGGTAATAACTGCGAACGAGTCCTGAAGTAAATTAAATTTTATACAAATAAAAGGGACCGATTCTAGTACCTAGTATAAATACAATACAAATAAAAATGACCGAACTAGAGATCTAAAAAAAAATTTATAATTATAAATTTTTATTACAAATCATAATAGTGACTTCAATAGTATTAATACGGTTGTAGTATCGTCTCAAAGCTTTCAATACCTTTATATTGTAAAAAAAACTACTAAAGCTTTTGGTACATTTTGATAATGTCTTTATATCTAACAAGTCCCTATGCTCAGAGAGAAACTTGAAAGCACGACCTTATTTTATAAGGGTTTTTTTTAAATCGAAGTGGCTATTTTTTGAGAAGAAATATTAAAATAAATTCACACTTATTATAAAGCAAGTAAAATTTAGAAAATATATTTGAAAAATCAAAAAAATATATTAATATTTTCATTGATAATTATTTTAAAATTTAAAAAAAAAGCGGAAAAACAACAAGCACATCCTTCGCCTTCAACGTTTTATATGTTACTGAAAGTATTTCATTTTTTTTAAGTGAACAGCTTTTTTTCTCATAGGGTAAGTTAACTCAAGATATGGGGAGTAACTTTGGTGTCAAGTTGAAAATATAATTATTGAATATTGATATAAATACATAGTAAAGAAAAAATTTGAAGAGGGAATTAGAAAATAATATCTAAAATACAATCAAATACTATTTGTTAAATACAAATTTTATATAAACTTCAAAATTTTACCTCTATTTTTATTTGAAAAAATATTAAAATCTTACTATCATTTAAAAAAATATTTAAAATGTTTGGAAAAAACAATCATATATTTTTATGACCGGATTAGAAAATTTTTTTTTATTTTTGAAATAAATGGTATTTTACCATATGACTCAAAAATTCCGACTGTAAAATAACAGGTATTTTAAAATTTTTGTTCTTTATGTAATATTCTTTCCGTTTAGAATTAAGATAGGTCATACATACACATGCAGGGACATTTTATAAATTTGCTTTTGTTTACCTGCTATGGACAAAGAGCACAGTATAATTTTTGAAGCACTCAATCTAACATGTTTGAAATAGTTTTAAAATAATTATTTAAAAAAAAAATGATTGGAAGTAGGTACATACATATTTATTATTAATAACTTAAAAACTAACTGAAATTATTTGAAACAATTTTATAAGTAACGTATAAATAACCGAAATGAGATAATTAAAATTGTTAAAATGTGTCAACCTATATTACTTTTAATAACAATGTTAGCCGACACTACTCAACTTACCTTATTGGGAAATACAAAATGTGCATGAAAAAACATACATCCTTCCTCGTTAACATTTGAAACCATACTGAAATAAAAGTATATCTACTAACAAGTAGTTCGACTCTCCGTTTACATCACACTAATTCAATCACTCACCAATGTTTGTATACAAAAAATTCCGCATTAGTGTGATGTAAACGGAGAGTCGAACTACTTTTTAGTAGATATACTTTGGTTAAAAGAGTTAAGCAGTATACTTTCTTATTTTCATTTTTATACACATAAGAATTTTTGGGAGAGGGAAAGAGTACACAATAAATGTCAACCTCTTTTTTAATAATATAATTTTGAAAGGCGACACTTTATTATTTGTTCCTATATAAAGTATAGGGAAAAATATTAAGAATTTTAAAAGCGACACAATAATTTCTGTAGTTCATTCCAGTACAAGGTGGCAAAAAATGTGTATTATATTATAAAAGCGAAGAAGAAAAAAAGTGTTTAAAAAAATTATTATAATTTATATAATATAGTTTTTAAAAATAATAAAAATAAATTTTGAAAAGACGTACAATAGTAAAAAAAAATTTAAATAGTTGTGAAAAAAAATATTTTTTTTATAAAAATGGGTAAACATTATTTGAAGTTTTTGGAATGAAAAAAAGCCGACACAAAAATTTCATTTGTTGCCAAAAGATGTGAAGAGATAAATATGTACTTTTGAAAATATTTTAAATATTTAGTGTTAGGCATTTGTAATTAATAAATAAAATAAATAAATTATCTTTAAATTTTTTATTTTTATTTCAATCTTAATAAATTTAGAACATATTTGCATGAATAATATATTTCCCGGTAATAATTATATATCATAAAGTAATCAGTATGTATACACTTTTTTTTCTTTATAAATTACTTTATTTCTATGTCACTACTACTGCGTATTTACTGTATCAGGTACATGCATGTGTACATTCATACATGAAATTTCAAACTCTTTTGCTTTGATACATTTCAATTTTTTACCTAAATTTTATAAAATAAAAAATAAATTTTGTAATAAAAAATAATTATATTACCAACTTAATTTAATTTTAGTTCAATGTTTTTGATACACTCGTTTGTTTACAATATTTTGTTTCTTTCTGGCCTACACAACTCTTATTACCATCTATTTCTACAAAAAAATGGATATTTTAAGAATTTGGAAGCAAGATGCAAACGAAAACTAACGGAATGGAACGAGTCGAATTACTTATTAGTAGATATACTTTGACTGAAATATGAATTTCAAATTTTTTTCATTTTATCTTCCCTCCTACCTTTCTTTCTTTTTCGTGTAACAGAATTTTAATGGGAAGCTTTTTAAAAAATGTGTATAATATCCTGAGATTTTTTAAAATATTAAACTCTTTTTTACTTAAAAAAAAAGAAAAAAATAATAAAAAATATGACACGTTCAGTGGCATTTAAAGAAAAAACTAGCAACGAAGCCAAAAATTCGTAATATTTCGTAAAAAAAATTGAGTATTGGGACTTGTTAGATATAAAGACATTAATTTTGGAATACAATTTTTACCATATCAATACAACTTTGACGTTTGTTTGAAAATTTCAATTTAAAGTTCTGTGAAAATATTCATTTTTATAAAACGTTACCACATCATTAAAAACATAATATTTTTATGCTGCATTTTAGGAAAAAAACTTGATAACTAGCACTTTATTGCTGAAAATATATGGTGGTTTATTTTATCGGTTATTCCTGGCAACATTTATATGACAAGGTATAAGAAAAGCGTGCTCGATTTTTTCAATACCCAATTTACTTTTATTTGACGTCTCCATTACGTATAAAACGTATTTAGGAAAAGTATACAATGTCAAGATATTTTGCAAAACTTGATATTTTGTGAAATTTAAGTCGTAAGCGCATTATTGAAGTCACGGTTTATTTTGTACAATTACATTATTTCTTCCCGGTAGGCTGGAATAATATTTCTACAACCGATTAATTTAGCGTTTTCTTTTTAATCGATTAATGTGAAATGTCTTTTTAATAAATTGACATTCGAACAATAAAAAATAAAGTTAATAATAAATAAAGTTAGCGTTTTCTTTTAAATCGATTATGAAAAAATGTTGGTTTTGCATATGCATATGAGTAATTTAAACACGTACATTGAACACAAATATTTTAGAATAGACTTACGAAAGTTTTGCCATTTTACGTTTTTTCCCATCAAGAGATTCTTTAATGCAACACGAATCCATACTTGAAGCCTATACATATAAACGACACTTGCAGCCGGTTTAATATATGTAAGTTAATTAAAAAATTTTGCTTACTTGATTTGCATATAATAGCTAAACAGCATTTTTGTGCATTCATGTTAACATGTCAAAGGAAAGGTTGAATTTCGGGATGATTTCAAGCCAAGCTGACGTAACACTGGGTATAGTTTACCTATGTAAATTGTGGCAGAACATGCTTTTTAAATTATCTTTAAAATGAAATGCTTTACAGTGCTCATATTAACTTTCGATAGAACCAGAATTATAGACAGCTAAATTGTTTTGTTTTTTTATTTAAAAATAAATACTTTAGTTCTTAGAATCTGCAATATATCGCTTTCTGTAAGTGTTTTCTTTTTTATTCCCTGCTGTTGTTTCATCATATACATAAAGTTAAAGGTAAATGTACGTAAAATTAAAGGTAAACGTACTCAAATTTAAGGTAAATATGCTTGTTTCAATAATAAAGTTAATAAAAATCCTTATTTCAAAGTTGTTACATTAATAGCTCTTGCAAAATAAGTTTTTTGAACTTGGAACCTATTGTTCTTACTTATATTGTAAGTTATTTTAAAATCAGGATGTACTCTAGCCATAATAAGCATTCTTGAAACTAAAATGTAATGCATGTGTATTAAACTTCTTTATTTACGATTAAACTGTCAAATTTTTGTAATAAAATTTTAACTGTTTTGAAACTATATTTTATCCTCCGGATGATACAACTCTGTCAATAATCTGCACACATATGAAGGTGAGTGACCGCCCCTTTAAAAAGATATAATATTAAAAATTTATGTTATCCTTGGCAATTATCAATTACTTACATATTAGATATGAAAAGTGTAACTAATTCAGGAGGAACATAATCGAAAATTGGGCTAAATGTTCTAGAGATATTAGGTCCCAAAGAATTGCATTCAATCACACTCCCATCGGGACCAACTAAATTGAATGCGTCTTGTTTATAACTGCGTAAATACATTGCCGATAGCATGTACATGGGAGCAAGAACAATCACTGGGACTGAGTAATGTTTTGCAGCCAAAGCCTCTGTATAAGAACCACAGGATGCTCTTAAGCCACCGTTAGCTAACACACAGTGCGTACCTATTATAACTTTGTTTACCCGCGACATCATTGCAAAAATTGATGAATCTGGAATGACAACCACATCTACATTTGGAGCTGCAATATTAGCTGCCAAATTATGACCCTGTATTTATCAATAACATTATATGGAGAAAATGAAATTTTATTGTCTTGAAATAGTTGTGAAAAAAAATATTTTTTTTATAAAAATGGGTAAACATTATTTGAAGTTTTTGGGATGAAAAAAAGCCGACACAAAAATTTCATTTGTTGCCAAAAGATGTGAAGAGATAAATATGTACTTTTGAAAATATTTTAAATATTTAGTGTTAGGCATTTGTAATTAATAAATAAAATAAATAAATTATCTTTAAATTTTTTATTTTTATTTCAATCTTAATAAATTTAGAACATATTTGCATGAATAATATATTTCCCGGTAATAATTATATATCATAAAGTAATCAGTATGTATACACTTTTTTTTCTTTATAAATTACTTTATTTCTATGTCACTACCTGATACTGCGTATTTACCGTATCAGGTACATGGATGTGTACATTCATACATGAAATTTCACACTCTTTTGCTTTGATACATTTCAATTTTTTACCTAAATTTTATAAAATAAAAAATAAATTTTGTAATAAAAAATAATTATATTACCAACTTAATTTAATTTTAGTTCAATGTTTTTGATACACTCGTTTGTTTACAATATTTTGTTTCTTTCTGGCCTACACAACTCTTATTACCATCTATTTCTACAAAAAAATGGATATTTTAAGAATTTGGAAGCAAGATGCAAACGAAAACTAACGGAATGGAACGAGTCGAATTACTTATTAGTAGATATACTTTGACTGAAATATGAATTTCAAATTTTTTTCATTTTATCTTCCCTCCTACCTTTCTTTCTTTTTCGTGTAACAGAATTTTAATGGGAAGCTTTTTAAAAAATGTGTATAATATCCTGAGATTTTTTAAAATATTAAACTCTTTTTTACTTAAAAAAAAAAGAAAAAAATAATAAAAAATATGACACGTTCAGTGGCATTTAAAGAAATAAAGTTGGGTCAAACCAATGGTTTGTATTGTAGCACTTTTCCCTTCAACAAGTGAAAATTCTGCTTTTAAATACAGTCTATGTCTATCCACCACACTATTAAAATTATTTTTATTCATATACAAAACTATTTCTAGGGTTGCATATATTTAGGATGACGCATATATGCAGTCTTTGAAATAAAGCAAAAATTAATATAAAGTGGGGTTAACATAATGCTCGATTTTAAGGTTTAATTGTGTGAGTTAAGAAAAATAATTATATTTTTTAATTTCATGGAATTTACCGTTAACTTTTTGCGTTTATAGAAATTTGAAAAAGCTTGCGGTTTCGGAAATACAAGGTGTCAAAAATTCAAATTTTACAAATTTCAAGAGGCGATAACTTGAGAGGGGGTGGAGATAGAAAAAAATTTTCTTCTAATGAAATGAACTTTTTGATAATGTCTAAAAGCTCCTAAAATTTCAAGCTTCTACAGGCTGGGGTTTGGAAGATAAACGACATCAAAAATTTGAAAAAAAACGACTTTAGATAACGGTAAATTTGAGCGGTCATTTTGTTTTTCTAAGGTTTAACTATAGTATACCGCGGTAGGGGAAGCAAGCAGCTGACATTCTGTGTTTGCAAAATTTCAAAAATGCTTATGGTTTCATTGCAACAAATAGTTAAAAAAGGCCATTTTTAGGGGTTTGGGGGGGTATAACTTCTAGAGGGGGGGAGATAGGTAAAAATTTTGTTCTACAGAAATAAGTTTCTGGTAAAGATCTATGTACGTACAAAATTTCAGCTTTCTATCTTCAAGGGTGTAGAAGTTTTGTAAACAGACACACGGACGGACGGACGGACGGACGGACGGACAGAGTGAAACTAATAAGCACTTTTTTTCAAAAAATTTTTGGAAAAGTGCTAAAAACCAGCAACGAAGCCAAAAATTCGTAATATTTCGTAAAAAAAATTGAGTATTGGGACTTGTTAGATATAAAGACATTAATTTTGGAATACAATTTTTACCATATCAATACAATTTTGACGTTTGTTTGAAAATTTCAATTTAAAGTTCTGTTAAAATGTTCATTTTTATAAAACGTTACCACATCATTAAAAACATAACATTTTTATGCTGCATTTTAGGAAAAAAACTTGATAACTAGCACTTTATTGCTGAAAATATATGGTGGTTTATTTTATCGGTTATTCCTGGCAACATTTATATGACAAGGTATAAGAAAAGCGTGCTCGATTTTTTCAATACCCAATTTACTTTTATTTTACGTGTCCATTACGTATAAAACGTATTTAGGAAAAGTATACAATGTCAAGATATTTTGCAAAACTTGATATTTTGTGAAATTTAAGTCGTAAGCGCATTATTGAAGTCACGGTTTATTTTGTGCAATTACATTATTTCTTCCCGGTAGGCTGGAATAATATTTCTACAACCGATTAATTTAGCGTTTTCTTTTTAATCGATTAATGTGAAATGTCTTTTTAATAAATTGACATTCGAACAATAAAAAATAAAGTTAATAATAAATAAAGTTAGCGTTTTCTTTTAAATCGATTAAGAAAAAATGTTGCTTTTGCATATGCATATGAGTAATTTAAACACGTACATTGAACACAAATATTTTAGAATAGACTTACGAAAGTTTTGCCATTTTACGTTTTTTCCCATTAAGAGATTCTTTAATGCAACGCGAATCCATACTTGAAGCCTATACATATAAACGACACTTGCAGCCGGTTTAATATAAGTTAATTAAAAAATTTTGCTTACTTGATTTGCATATAATAGCTAAACAGCATTTTTGTGCATTCATGTTAACATGTCAAAGGAAAGGTTGAATTTCGGGATGATTTCAAGCCAAGCTGACGTAACACTGGGTATAGTTTACCTATGTAAATTGTGGCAGAACATGCTTTTTAAATTATCTTTAAAATGAAATGCTTTACAGTGCTCAAATTAACTTTCGATAGAACCAGAATTATAGACAGCTAAATTGTTTTGTTTTTTTATTTAAAAATAAATACTTTAGTTCTTAGAATCTGCAATATATCGCTTTCTGTAAGTGTATTCTTTTTTATTCCCTGCTGTTGTTTCATCATATACATAAAGTTAAAGGTAAATGTACGTAAAATTAAAGGTAAACGTACTCAAATTTAAGGTAAATATGCTTGTTTCAATAATAAAGTTAATAAAAATCCTTATTTCAAAGTTGTTACATTAATAGCTCTTGCAAAATAAGTTTTTTGAACTTGGAACCTATTGTTCTTACTTATATTGTAAGTTATTTTAATATCAGGATGTACTCTAGCCATAATAAGCATTCTTGAAACTAAAATGTAATGCATGTGTATTAAAATTCTTTATTTACGATTAAACTGTCAAATTTTTGTAATAAAATTTTAACTGTTTTGAAACTATATTTTATCCTCCGGATGATACAACTCTGTCAATAATCTGTACACATATGAAGGTGAGTGACCGCCCCTTTAAAAAGATATAATATTAAAAATTTATGTTATCCTTGGCAATTATCAATTACTTACATATTAGATATGAAAAGTGTAACTAATTCAGGAGGAACATAATCGAAAATTGGGCTAAATGTTCTAGAGATATTAGGTCCCAAAGAATTGCATTCAATCACACTCCCAGCGGGACCAACTAAATTGAATGCGTCTTGTTTATAACTGCGTAAATACATTGCCGATAGCATGTACATGGGAGCAAGAACAATCACTGGGACTGAGTAATGTTTTGCAGCCAAAGCCTCTGTATAAGAACCACAGGATGCTCTTAAGCCACCGTTAGCTAACACACAGTGCGTGCCTATTATAACTTTGTTTACCCGCGACATCATTGCAAAAATTGATGAATCTGGAATGACAACCACATCTACATTTGGAGCTGCAATATTAGCTGCCAAATTATGACCCTGTATTTATCAATAACATTATATGGAGAAAATGAAATTTTATTGTCTTGAAATAGTTGTGAAAAAAAATATTTTTTTTATAAAAATGGGTAAACATTATTTGAAGTTTTTGGGATGAAAAAAAGCCGACACAAAAATTTCATTTGTTGCCAAAAGATGTGAAGAGATAAATATGTACTTTTGAAAATATTTTAAATATTTAGTGTTAGGCATTTGTAATTAATAAATAAAATAAATAAATTATCTTTAAATTTTTTATTTTTATTTCAATCTTAATAAATTTAGAACATATTTGCATGAATAATATATTTCCCGGTAATAATTATATATCATAAAGTAATCAGTATGTATACACTTTTTTTTCTTTATAAATTACTTTATTTCTATGCCACTACCTGATACTGCGTATTTACTGTATCAGGTACATGGATGTGTACATTCATACATGAAATTTCAAACTCTTTTGCTTTGATACATTTCAATTTTTTACCTAAATTTTATAAAATAAAAAATAAATTTTGTAATAAAAAATAATTATATTACCAACTTAATTTAATTTTAGTTTAATGTTTTTGATACACTCGTTTGTTTACAATATTTTGTTTCTTTCTGGCCTACACAACTCTTATTACCATCTATTTCTACAAAAAAATGGATATTTTAAGAATTTGGAAGCAAGATGCAAACGAAAACTAACGGAATGGAACGAGTCGAATTACTTATTAGTAGATATACTTTGACTGAAATATGAATTTCAAATTTTTTTCATTTTATCTTCCCTCCTACCTTTCTTTCTTTTTCGTGCAACAGAATTTTAATGGGAAGCTTTTTAAAAAATGTGTATAATATCCTGAGATTTTTTAAAATATTAAACTCTTTTTTACTTAAAAAAAAAGAAAAAAATAATAAAAAATATGACACGTTCAGTGGCATTTAAAGAAAAAACCAGCGACGAAGCCAAAAATTCGTAATATTTCGTAAAAAAAATTGAGTATTGGGACTTGTTAGATATAAAGACATTAATTTTGGAATACAATTTTTACCATATCAATACAACTTTGACGTTTGTTTGAAAATTTCAATTTAAAGTTCTGTGAAAATGTTCACTTTTATAAAACGTTACCACATCATTAAAAACATAATATTTTTATGCTGCATTTTAGGAAAAAAACTTGATAACTAGCACTTTATTGCTGAAAATATATGGTGGTTTATTTTATCGGTTATTCCTGGCAACATTTATATGACAAGGTATAAGAAAAGCGTGCTCGATTTTTTCAATACCCAATTTACTTTTATTTGACGTCTCCATTACGTATAAAACGTATTTAGGAAAAGTATACAATGTCAAGATATTTTGCAAAACTTGATATTTTGTGAAATTTAAGTCGTAAGCGCATTATTGAAGTCACGGTTTATTTTGTACAATTACATTATTTCTTCCCGGTAGGCTGGAATAATATTTCTACAACCGATTAATTTAGCGTTTTCTTTTTAATCGATTAATGTGAAATGTCTTTTTAATAAATTGACATTCGAACAATAAAAAATAAAGTTAATAATAAATAAAGTTAGCGTTTTCTTTTAAATCGATTATGAAAAAATGTTGGTTTTGCATATGCATATGAGTAATTTAAACACGTACATTGAACACAAATATTTTAGAATAGACTTACGAAAGTTTTGCCATTTTACGTTTTTTCCCATCAAGAGATTCTTTAATGCAACACGAATCCATACTTGAAGCCTATACATATAAACGACACTTGCAGCCGGTTTAATATATGTAAGTTAATTAAAAAATTTTGCTTACTTGATTTGCATATAATAGCTAAACAGCATTTTTGTGCATTCATGTTAACATGTCAAAGGAAAGGTTGAATTTCGGGATGATTTCAAGCCAAGCTGACGTAACACTGGGTATAGTTTACCTATGTAAATTGTAGCAGAACATGCTTTTTAAATTATCTTTAAAATGAAATGCTTTACAGTGCTCATATTAACTTTCGATAGAACCAGAATTATAGACAGCTAAATTGTTTTGTTTTTTTATTTAAAAATAAATACTTTAGTTCTTAGAATCTGCAATATATCGCTTTCTGTAAGTGTTTTCTTTTTTATTCCCTGCTGTTGTTTCATCATATACATAAAGTTAAAGGTAAATGTACGTAAAATTAAAGGTAAACGTACTCAAATTTAAGGTAAATATGCTTGTTTCAATAATAAAGTTAATAAAAATCCTTATTTCAAAGTTGTTACATTAATAGCTCTTGCAAAATAAGTTTTTTGAACTTGGAACCTATTGTTCTTACTTATATTGTAAGTTATTTTAAAATCAGGATGTACTCTAGCCATAATAAGCATTCTTGAAACTAAAATGTAATGCATGTGTATTAAACTTCTTTATTTACGATTAAACTGTCAAATTTTTGTAATAAAATTTTAACTGTTTTGAAACTATATTTTATCCTCCGGATGATACAACTCTGTCAATAATCTGCACACATATGAAGGTGAGTGACCGCCCCTTTAAAAAGATATAATATTAAAAATTTATGTTATCCTTGGCAATTATCAATTACTTACATATTAGATATGAAAAGTGTAACTAATTCAGGAGGAACATAATCGAAAATTGGGCTAAATGTTCTAGAGATATTAGGTCCCAAAGAATTGCATTCAATCACACTCCCATCGGGACCAACTAAATTGAATGCGTCTTGTTTATAACTGCGTAAATACATTGCCGATAGCATGTACATGGGAGCAAGAACAATCACTGGGACTGAGTAATGTTTTGCAGCCAAAGCCTCTGTATAAGAACCACAGGATGCTCTTAAGCCACCGTTAGCTAACACACAGTGCGTACCTATTATAACTTTGTTTACCCGCGACATCATTGCAAAAATTGATGAATCTGGAATGACAACCACATCTACATTTGGAGCTGCAATATTAGCTGCCAAATTATGACCCTGTATTTATCAATAACATTATATGGAGAAAATGAAATTTTATTGTCTTGAAATAGTTGTGAAAAAAAATATTTTTTTTATAAAAATGGGTAAACATTATTTGAAGTTTTTGGGATGAAAAAAAGCCGACACAAAAATTTCATTTGTTGCCAAAAGATGTGAAGAGATAAATATGTACTTTTGAAAATATTTTAAATATTTAGTGTTAGGCATTTGTAATTAATAAATAAAATAAATAAATTATCTTTAAATTTTTTATTTTTATTTCAATCTTAATAAATTTAGAACATATTTGCATGAATAATATATTTCCCGGTAATAATTATATATCATAAAGTAATCAGTATGTATACACTTTTTTTTCTTTATAAATTACTTTATTTCTATGTCACTACCTGATACTGCGTATTTACCGTATCAGGTACATGGATGTGTACATTCATACATGAAATTTCACACTCTTTTGCTTTGATACATTTCAATTTTTTACCTAAATTTTATAAAATAAAAAATAAATTTTGTAATAAAAAATAATTATATTACCAACTTAATTTAATTTTAGTTCAATGTTTTTGATACACTCGTTTGTTTACAATATTTTGTTTCTTTCTGGCCTACACAACTCTTATTACCATCTATTTCTACAAAAAAATGGATATTTTAAGAATTTGGAAGCAAGATGCAAACGAAAACTAACGGAATGGAACGAGTCGAATTACTTATTAGTAGATATACTTTGACTGAAATATGAATTTCAAATTTTTTTCATTTTATCTTCCCTCCTACCTTTCTTTCTTTTTCGTGTAACAGAATTTTAATGGGAAGCTTTTTAAAAAATGTGTATAATATCCTAAGATTTTTTAAAATATTAAACTCTTTTTTACTTAAAAAAAAAAGAAAAAAATAATAAAAAATATGACACGTTCAGTGGCATTTAAAGAAATAAAGTTGGGTCAAACCAATGGTTTGTATTGTAGCACTTTTCCCTTCAACAAGTGAAAATTCTGCTTTTAAATACAGTCTATGTCTATCCACCACACTATTAAAATTATTTTTATTCATATACAAAACTATTTCTAGGGTTGCATATATTTAGGATGACGCATATATGCAGTCTTTGAAATAAAGCAAAAATTAATATAAAGTGGGGTTAACATAATGCTCGATTTTAAGGTTTAATTGTGTGAGT